AATGACTCAACAGAACGTAACCAGAAATAGAGAACTAAGCCGCAGTTCTTATTTCTCCTACTCCATTCCCGTCAGTGAGGGTGATTGCAATGTTCACTTCCCTGAGCACAGCAGAGACAGGATTGTACAGGAGCAGATAAGGCGTCAACGCACTGCACACAGGGTTGCTATGAGTCAGAACAGATTCAACCACACCTAGTAACAACGTCCCATGCCTAACAGCTTCCCACTCTTCTGTGATTTAAAAAAACCGAACCAAGCCAACAAAATCCCCACCCTTTTCATGGAGTGGATTCTAACTCATGACTTCCAAGATAAAAATATTGTACGTCAACACTACCAGTTGATCTGGGAGGAATGCGATACGAGAGGACTGCGCAGATAGGTTCAAGGATATTGATGATGTCCTCGTTCCTTAATGCTTGGCCACTCACTTCATTACTACATGTCATAGCCTGCATGCATATTGCATGCTTTTGTATTATCAAATATTATATACTTTAGTAACATTAGCAATTAAGTAACATAATGAAGATATAGGGTAAAATGGACAATGTCCCCCCTACACAAATAAACTCTTTGTTGTAAGTTGTTAGTATGTCATGAATTGAAGTGTGCCCCCCCCAAAAAGATACATATAAATAATATGGAACACAATGATCTCCCAGGATCTCATAAACAAAATACAAGTAGTAAGAGTAGAATCCTATCACTATCCTAATAGGATAGACAGAGAGTTACTCTGGGAACTTTTATCTCACCAGATACAGAAAAGAAAGCAAACCAAGTGGTAGGGACCCTTAGGATCACCAAGAAATAATCACCAGGATTGGGGTGCACCTTTGTGGACCTGGGCTTCTCAAAGAGCCTCCTTGATACCAGAGGAGCACAGAATACATGGAGATCTTCCGTAAACACAGAAGCTGAAGGAAACAAAGACTTCCTCCACAACCAACAGAGGGAAAAGGCCTTCCCTCCCCTAGGGCTGGCCCCTTGGATTTGGAGTTCTGCCTTTCTAATGCGAGCTCTTTATCTACTTTTTTAAATCTGTCAATGATATCCCTTCAATTGCTGGGGCCTTGCTTTTTGCCAGTGTCTTCAGTATAGGCTGAACTTCTCTTCCTTCAGAACTTTGGGTTCTTGATCACATGCTGCTTCCTGCAAGGGTTCTGTGTCAATCAATTCTTTTTTGGTACTCCTTCCATCTCCTTTGATTCTTCCTGGATCAGTCAAGATTTCTCCCATAGCATCCTTCTATAAAGCAACGTGAGGAATGAATTAGTTTTTCAGTGCTTTCAGCTTGAGGAATGCTGAGCAAGTTCTTCACTTTTTCTCTTCAAACACCATCTCTTTACACATTTCTTTATAATGTTTTGTTTTGTCTTCTCTTAAGGCCCTTTGAAATCTTTGAAATCTGTTCACCTCTTTTACCCTGGCCTTTCTTCCTTTTGTTTGACTCTTTGACATTCTACTACAATTTTCAGTCTCTTCTGCTATCTCTGTTGGTCTTTTATTTCTTTTTAAAAAATTTTTTAAATTACTTTTGTGTGTGTGTGTGTGTGTGTGTATATATATATGTATATATACACACACACATATACATATATATACACACACATATATACATATATGTGTGTGTATATATATAAAATGTGTGTCTATAATGTAGAATAGTATACTATAATACACTGGTTAACTTAAAAAGTTTGAGCTTTTGTTTCTCTCCTACCTGTATAATGATCTTTTGCTTTCTTCATGGATGATATCATCCCATAACTTACCTGGTCTTCAATCACGAGTACTCTATGTCTCAAACCTATTCTTGAAAAAGATTTTAAATTCAAATGGGATAGACTCAGGTTGTGTTTGAGTTCTGGTGTACTTGTTTTCATTTTCTTCAGTTTCAGTTTGAACTTGCACATGAGTATTTGATGGTCTGTTTCACAGTTAGAACCTGGTCTGATTTTGACTGCTGGTATTTTCTCCAGTGATTCTTCCTGCTTGTGTAGTCAATCTGATTTCTGTGTAGTCCATCAGATGAGGTCAATGTTTTCTATCACTGTTTGTGGTGTGGTTTTTTTTATACGTTTTTATCACTTTTTTTATAATTTTAATGAAAATTTACAGAGCCTTTGGATTTCTGTTCATTCATTGTTGCACTTTTCTCCCTGCCCACCCCTTCCCCCGCCAGTACATTCTTCTCTTTGAATCTCTTCGTAAAGTAAAAGAAAAATTCTTTCATTGTTTTACAATCCCTCCCCCCAGGTCCACTCCACTATGTGGTCTTCGTTCTGAACTCCTGTCACGACAATACCTAATCACATATCCCTTTTAAACAGTTTTCTCCCTCATCTGTTTCAATGCAGTATACATTATTTATCCCATATTTCTTAGTCTCCCCCCAACCCCGAAGTCAGTCCTGTTTTACAACAGTGGCACTATGCAGTATTTGTCCCTTTGTGACTGAGATATTTCACTCAGCGTAATGTTTTTAAAAGATCTTTACAATTAATAAATCACTGACTTACAAAACCCAATCATTCAATTGTCGACCTCATTTCTCTCACAAATAGTTGCAGCCCTGGATGTGTTCACCAGTCTATGCCAAGAGATTTGGAAGACAGCCATCTGACTACTGAGAACCCCTGACTGGGAGAGGTCCATATTTGTTCCCATTGAAAAAAAAAAGTGCTACAACAGAATGTGATCATTATCAAACAATGTTAATATCACATGCAAGTAAAATATTGCTGAAGAATATTTTTTAAAGGCCAGAAGAGTATAGCCACAAAGAACCACCAGAAATGTAAACTAGATTTAGAAGTGACTCCAGGCATAAGCTGATATAAGATAAATCTTAGCTGAAAACAGGGAATACCACAAGATGTCTATTTGTGTTTCATTAAGTATGCAAAGGCATTTGATGGTGTAGATCATAACAAATTATAGCTAGCATTGAGAAGAATGGGAATCCTAGAACACTTAATCATATTCATGTGAAACCTATACCTAGACCAAGAAGCTGTTGTCCAAACAGAGCAAGGGAACACTGCATTATTTAAAATCAAGAAAGGTGTGTGTCAGGGCTGTATCCTTTCTCCATACTTATTCAATCTGTATACAAAGCAAATCATTTGAGAGGCTGGATTTTATTAAGAGGAATGGGGCATCAAGATCTGAGGAAAGCTCAGCAACAATCTGCATTATGCAGATGACACAACCTTGCTTACTGAAAGTGAGAAGGACTTGAAAACACATTGTGCTTGGAAAGGTGGAGGGGAGAGAAAGACTCTCAACAAGATGGATTCACTTAGTGACTATGGGCTCAAGTATCATCAGAACACAGAGTAACAACGGGTTCAAGTATATTGCAACAAGGTTCAGAGCCAGTCTTCATAGGGCTGCTGTGAGTTGTAATCAACTGGATGGCACCTAACAACAATGGAAGCTCTGGTGGCCTTGTGGGTAGGAGCTGTGCTGCCAACCCAAAGGCTAATGGTTCAAATACACTAGCTGCTCCACAGGAGAAAGATGGGTAATCTCCTCCTGTGTGATTTACAGCCTCTAAAAACTTGATCTAGGGTCAGCCTATGGAGTTGGATCTCACTCAACAACACAAAAACAGCTTGCTGAACTGTAAGAGAACAAGTTTTTGTTTGTCAGAGCCATCTGCTTGCAGCGTCTTTGCTGTAATAGCATTAGATAACTAAGATGGAAGCAATCTGGAACAAGAGGTACACGGAAAAGCAAACTAGGGCAGAGGAAGGGAGGACAAGGGGAGAAAATGTGCAATAGTGAATGAATGAAAAGAATTAACTTAAACTATATAACATTTAGAGACCTAGAAGACATACAACTCTTTTCCGGCCCTTAAATATAATTAATATAAGAATAATATTAGCAGGCAACAATTATGTTAATATTTAAAACATTATTATTAATTTGAAGTACCTGCATAAAGTCCTTGATAAAGCGCAAACACAAACATTTGATTTTGTGAGTGTCATTTGATTTTCACAAACACCTTGAAATGTAGACAGTGCAAAGTCTGCCAAACAGGACAAGCTCCCAAGAAGACCTCACTTCATGTAGATAATGAGTTAATACTTCCCAATCTTCCATTGTTTATCACTTCCTCACATCCTTTTTTGTGCCCCACACATTCCTATGTCATAAAATAATGGTTAGCCGGTGCTAAGCAGTTATGCCACTTGCCATTATGCCCTAGTTGATTCCAATCCTTGGCAATCCCTTGTATATCAGAGTATATCCATGCTTCATGAGATTTTTATGTTCAATTTTTTGGGAAAGAAATTGCCAGGTCTTTCTTTCCAGGCTCCTCTGGGTGAACTAGAACTGCTAACCTTTTAGAGGTAGTCATGCCTGCTAACTATTGACCCGTCCCTAAGACTCTAGACTGAATGACCATAAATATGGTCTGCATGCTAATGCCATATACACATTATTTCATCTAATCTTCCCAGCAAGGAGTAAGATTGTTCACAGTTTAGCATCAAAGAAAACAGAGATGCAGTCCAGCCATTTGCCCTAAGCTAAGACAGAATCCTGGTCCATATGACACTAAAGTTGGTGTTTGTAACCACACTGTATGACACTGTGTCCATCAAAAATAATCCTTCTTGTGGACAGGTGTGTGTACATGTGAAGTAACAGGAAAAAATGCAATGGGGACGTGAAAAGATGGGGTCATAAAAGACAGACATCAATAGTAATTCATTATATAAAACACAACATATATCAATGATTGTATAATCACAATGCACAGAAATTAAATGTAATGTGTGTGAATGGTTGTGTAAAACACAATAAACATGAATGAAACAATACATATGAATGATTATATGCAAATCAATACAAATTTTACATATTAAAAAATAATAATCTCTCCCAAAACCCCTTCTTTGTATCATCCCATTTCCTAGAAAAGAGGTTTCCTGAAGGCAGTGCTCACACAGACCTTGTTCTAGATGATCACTTACCAGCTCAGTTTTTGGAAGGTGTTGGCCCAGAAGGAAGATCATGTCCCTTAAGTCCTCAGAGATTATGTCTTCTGATAGTTCATAGAGTAGATTTCTAAGAATACATCCAAAATGGCAAAATCACAGTAAAATCGCCAAATGATTAGTTGCCATCAAATCAATTTCAAATCATGGTAACCCATGTGGGTACGAGCAGAACTGTGCTCCGTAATGTTTTCACTGGTGGATATTTGGAGGTAGATTGCCTCTTAGGTCAGCATGGATACCAAATGTCAATCATTGGTTAGTACAATGACTCCTTGCACCAACCAGACACTCCATCTGATGATGACATGCTGTTAAATCTATTTTGACTCACTGTGATCCCCAAGGACAAAACAGGACTGCCCCAGAGTGCTACAAATCTTTCCAAGACTATAGATCTTTTCTAAAACTCTTTATCATAATTTGAATGAAGTTACACAAAGCAACTAAGTTTTCTACCCAACAATTCAAACACATTTTGTTTCATAACAATAATTACCCACCCCATAGAATAACAGAACTCTTTCCACTTGAAACAGCAGACTCGGGGTGGGGACGGGGGGAGCAGACTGCCACATCTCTTTCCAACTAAGTGGCAGGGGGTGGGGGTGGTTAAAACCCCCATCTTTTCAGTTAACAGAAAAGTGCGCTGCCATCGCAACACAAGGGCTCTCTCCTGATACTCTCTCATTGCCATTGAGTCAAACCGAGTCAAAGCTAGGTCTACAGTGGGTTTTCAGAGGCTGTAAACTGCACAAAAGGAGACTGCCCATTGTCCTTCCACAGAGATGATGGTGGATTCGAACCACCACAAGCAACTCCCTACAGACCACCCCACCAGAGCTCCGGCTGACAGGATGGAGGATGATAAACAAGAAAAGCCATAGGCACTGCTAGACTGAGTTGGCCTGAGGTGAAGAAGGAGGAGAAGCTAAATAAAGGAAGGTAAGCTCCTGGGTGGTACGGTTAAGGGCTGGAATACTACTTGAAAGGTTGGAGTCTCAGATCCACCCAGAGACTCCAAAGGTTCACAACTCTGAAAACCCTTCAGAGCGTTTCCACTCTGCACACGTCAAGTCTCCTGAGTTCAAATCAACTCCAACAGCAACAAGAACAGAGGACGATGAAGCATCAGAAAAACTCTGCTTCAAAACAATGGGAAGAAACTCCAAGCCCAGAATGCCTTCCCTTCCCCCTTAAATCTCTCACCTCATTAGCACTTAAAGTTGAGAACCTTCATTTTTAATCACAGTATCAATAAATTCAGTATATGCCAATAAAGATCTCCATCCTGGTTTTCTTTCAAAGCCCAGCAGCCTGAGTGGGTGCTAGACCTTTGCAGGATGAAGCAGAAGGGGAGCTGGAGTCTCGCCTGTTCCTGATCACTCACAGGACCCTCCTTACCTGAACGGAGAGACCCTCCTCCGAGTGGCCAGACAGCTCTCTACTTGCTCTTTGCTGTAGTCAAGGAAATGCAAGAGGGCGTTCTGCTTCATGGTATACAGGAGCTCTGCTAGGAAGAACGGGGCTTCCTCAGTCAGTAGCTCTTCCGCCAGGAGCAGATCGAATATCTCCGAAGCTGAGCTGCTCTTCTCCAACTTCTTGTGGGAGAGGAAGTCACCACAGAGAAACTTGAGCACTTCCACATCTTTGGACCCCAAACGTGCATCAATCTTCAGGAGTTTCTCACGGAAATCCATGCTACAATTTTCATCCAACCTGTGTCCAGACCTTTACCTTGAGATGTCCTGACCAAGTTGGGAGAGATAGAGAGATGGAGCAAAGAGTGTGAGAATGAGATCAAAGCAGCACTCCCACTTGCTGGCCCCTTCCCCAGCCCTGGCCTCCATTCCCAGCATTAGCCATGTAGTACTGAAAACTTAAAAACCCCCTACAAGGCTCCCTCCCACAGCCACTGGAAGAGCCTAGACAATTCTACCCCAATGCAAATTTGTAGAGGGAGTTTTTATTAGAACTCAATTTACCCTGATTTCTCCCAAATCGGAATGTCTCCAGTGGAAGAGCACAGAGTGCGATGTCACTCAGGACTGGTAAACCAGGTGGAGCACATGGATTTAAGTTCCATTCCCACCCAAAATAGCATCTGAATATTTACTTTCAATTTTAGAAATAAGACAACATGGAAGTTTATTCTGAAGTTCTATAATCCAAAGTCAGTGAGATGCATGTGGGTCAGTTGTCATATCCTTAATGTTAGATGACTCACATCAGGCAGGGCTTTATCTTACTCAGCATTTCTTTTTCTTTTTTTGTTTTTTTAACTATTTTGTGTGTCAAGTCAGATCTGACTGGTACAGAAGGAGATTGTACCTCCTTCTCCAGCAAAGCATCTGGTGGATTTGAACCGTGCACCTCTGGGATTGCAGTGCAGCTTCTTGCCACTAGGCCACCAGAGCTCCGAGGCAGGATTTTATCTTATAGAAACTAAAGCCATAAATAATCTCAGCTCCTAGGAGAAAAGGGTACTTTAGACAAAGTTGCTCCAGTTAATGAGGAAGTTATTGATTATCCTTCACTGTTTCCACCTGGCTGGTTAATAAACTATTGTTTTCCGGAAATTTTATTCTAAATAAAAGAGCAACGCGTTGACTAAACTTTTCATTGTAATGCTATTCTTTCTATAAGGACGTGAGGTATATATTCACTCTGTATGATTCTCAGCTATTGTTAGAAATAGGGAACTATTTTTGAAAGGAAGGAGAACGTAACAAAAGCAGTGCATCTGATAGTGAGAGTATCTAGGAAGTTTAACTATACACCGAAACCAAAGTTTATTACTTCTATGATTAGGGATGGCTCTTGTTGTTCTTGTTAGGTGTCATTGAGTTGAGTACAACCCATAAGGATCCTATGCCGTCCTCACACTTCCTGATACACTTGAACCCATTGTGCAGTTGCTGTGTCAAATTGGTGGGAGAGGGGAGCTATTTTTCTTGGTATTGTCCCACAGGTCAAATGATTGATTTCTTGGAGATGATTCTAATTCTAATCTATTCTAATGAGTGTTACATGATATTTTTCTGACTATTCTTACCTCCTAGCTTTTCTGAGCCCACAAACAGTAGACTAACAAATTAAAATCTTTTATTGTATTAGAAATAAAAGTTGTTTTGACACTTTCCCGGTTTTTCCTCTCCTTAAGTGGTATGTTTGGTTTTTTCCTTTCACTTTCTTTTTCCATGGTATGGGGAAAAAATCCACCACCTGGGTAAAAGCAAGTTTTTCCAAGTTTCTATGATGTGAGCCAAGTGAAGAAAAGATAATACATACCTTCAGACCAAGTCCCACTGATCCTGAGAGGTAGGTACCGTTCAGAGAGATTGGGATTCAGTCTTCCATGTGTTCCAGGTTCTTAGACAGCTCTCAATAGCTAGGAACAAGAATGAAAGACCTGGCCCTGCCTGAGCAAATAAAAATTAATTTCCTGTTGATGTCATCTCTGAAGTCTACAAGGCTTTTTCTCCTCCCCTTCCTCAGAGGTAGGGAAAAAGTGGCAAACAGCGGCTCCTAAAGGCTAAACCTTTTCCCATGTAGAACTCTAGATTTTCCCAGATAAAGCAAAACCCCTCTGACCCTGAATGAATTCTGATCCATAGCAATGCCAAGTAGGAGAGAGCCTTGGAAAGCAGATTTCCACATCTCTGCTGCAGAGCAGCTGCTAGGTTCCAACCCTCATCCAGACCAGCGCTTTACACCAGGGCCACCAAGTCTCCCGGATAAAGTAAAAGGCTCTCGCAGATGACCTCCTGGAAGCCAGTAAGGGCTCCAGCCTTTTCCCTTGACCCCAATTCCTGCCTTCCGTAACCATTCTCCCCCACCTCCAACTCTAATATATAATTTTTATTGTAATTTATGTATTAAATTTATACTTATAAAGTATATATTGGATTTTGGGGGGGTGTGAGATTTCTCCAATCATTTATTCACACAGCATTTTGTTCTATAACATCAGTTTTAATACACACAATGTCTAATTGTCCATTCATTCCATATTGGTTTTCCCCTTAGCCATCTTATTAAGGTTTATTGTCTATTAATTGTTTTCTACTTCCACTCATCCTACACCTCCTTGATAGCCCTACTGGAGTGATTCCCTCTTTATGTAAATCTTTCTCTAGTGATTTGTTTGGGTTTTTTGTATTAGTTGTCTTTACAGTATGTGTCCTTTAATGACTAACCTGTTTCATTCAGTATCACATCTCTAAACTCACCCATGCAGGTTGCAATATTAGTCACAATAACAAAGAACTGGAAATGACTCATGTGCTCATTAACAAATGAATGGATAGAAAAACTCTCATTCCCTCAATGGAATGCCATGCAATATTGAAAAACAATGAAGAAACTCACTTAGGCTTTGAAATAAAACTCAAAAAAATTATTAAAATGTTGATTATCTTAATGAAATAAGTCCATTTGTACATAAATAAATAGTGCTTTAAACAAAAAAGGGACTGTATCTTTGAGTGGAAACAGACTCACAGCTGACCCTCCATCAGGTTTTCAGAGGCAGTAAATTACACGAGAGGAGACTGCCCAACTTTCTCCCACAAAGCAGCTGGTAAAGTTGAAGCTGTTCCTTTGAGTTGGCAGCACAATTCCTTTCCTCTAAGTCACAAGAACTACCAATAAGACAATTAGGTTTTGGAAAGAATGCCATTAACTAATAATAAACAGAAGTGACACAATCTACCCTTGCTATGCATTCATTTCAAGAGAAAAGATATTGAAATTATTTTTTATAATAATAGTACTTAGATCACACATTCATGTGCTATAGGTCAAGTAATTGTTGTTATGTTGTTGTTATGTGCCACCGAGTTGCTTGCGACTCATAGCGACCCTATGTACATCATCCCTGAACTCTGCTCTGTCCTATGCCAATCGCACTGTCTCCGACACACCCATCCCAATTACCCCAGTCACTGAATCAATCCACCTCATAGGGGGAAATATACTAAAGTATATTTCTATATTCTAGGACTTCTCAAACATGCTCTGGTGGCAAAGTCCAACGACTTCTGGTGGCATAATGTGGACTTTATCCTGGCACTAAAGGAAAATGCTTGATGCAAGATACAGGGGTAAGATGGGGCAAAGCATTTCATACTTCCTCTCATATGGAACACAATAACTAAGGTTATGATGGTGGTAAGGTGATAGAAACAGGAAGAATAAACTGTAAATTTACAGAGTACACTGGAAAATATTTCATGGTTAAAATCAGGAAAGGAGTATGTCAAGGATATATCCTGTCTCCATACCTTTTCAACCTATATGCAGCACAGACCATTCGGAAGGCTAGTCTTTATGAGGAGAAATGTGACATCAGAACTGGAGGAAGACTCATCAACAAGTTGCATTATGCAGATGATACAACCTTGTGCACTGAAACTAAGGAGGACCTAGAGCACCTGAAGCAGAAGGTCAAGGACTGTAGTCTTCAATATGGATTGAAGCTCAACAACAAGAAGACAAAGATTCTCACCACTGGGCCAATCGGCAGCACCATGATAAATGGAAAAGAGATTGAGATTGTCAACAATTTCCACTTACTCGGGTCCATAATCAACATTCTTGGAACCAGAATCCAGGAAATCAAAAGACAAATTGCATTAGGAAAGTCTGCTTTCAGAGTGCTGAAGTGCAAAGATGTCAGTCAAAAGACAGGTGTGTTTGATCAAGGCCATGGTCTTCACAATTGTTATGCATTTAAGAGTTGGACAATGAATAAGGATGACAGAAGAAGTGATGCCTTTGAGTTGTGGTGCTGGAGAAGAGTATTGAACATACCATGATCTACCAAGAGAACAAACAGGTCTGTTCAGGAAAGGGTGACACCAACTTGTTCTCTGAACACAAAGATTTTGAAACTCCATCTCACATAATTTGGGTATGTGGCCAGGAGGGACCAGTCCTTGGAGAAGGACATCATGCTTGGAAGGGTCAAGGGACAACACAGGAGAGGAAGACTCTTGATGAGTTGGATTGACACAGTGACTGGGGTAATAGGGATAGGTGTGTCAGAGATAGTGAGATTGGCTCAGGATAGGCCAGAGTTCAGAACTATTTTTCATAGGGTCTCTATGAGTCACAGGTGACTCGACAGCACATAACAACAACAACTGGTTTGTTGCTGAACTGTGAGTCTCATGAGTCCATCTGAGAGGTAGATCAAAACTTCTACAGCTTGTATAACAGTAGGTTTCTACCCCTGCCCTGGTGATGTGGACTTTATGAAGAGGAATGAGGCATCAGGATTGGAAGGAAACTCATCAACAACTTGCATTACACAGATAACACAACTTTGCCCAAAGAAAGTTGAACAGTACTTGTAACACTTACTGCAAAAGATCAAACACTAGAATCTTCAATACAGATTACATCTCAACATCAAGAAAGTAAAAATCCTCACCACAGGACCAACAGTCAACATTATGATAGATGGAGAAAAGATTGAAGCTGTCAATTACTTCACTTGGATCTACAACAAACACCCAAGATATAAACAGGCAAGAAATCAGAAGACATGCTGCAGGAGAGAGGGGGGAATCTGCTGCTAAGGACCTCTCCAAAAGCAAGGACATACATTTAAAAACTAAGATGTGTATCATCCAAGCCATTGTATTTTTTCTTTCTTCCTATACATCTGAAAATTGGACACTGAATACCAGAAAAAAGTTCGCCTTCAAAACTTA